ACACACAACACCTTACCCAAGAGATCTCTCAGATATTAAGAGTGCAGGCTTGTTAATGTTTGCTAATTCAGATGTAGAAGCCCAGAGGGATGATTGAGGGGTCAGAACTGACAGTCTCATTCCTGTCCAGAATATCCAAGCATTGCAAGTTTAGCTGTAAAATCAGTGTATAGGGTAGTATAGATAAATAAATACATAAACATTTGTTTTCAAAACAATGTAAAAAAAAGCTTTTTCTAGGCATCCTAAAAGATATGAAACAATAATTAAATCAATAAAATCCTATAAAATATTTAGGTAGCAATGCTGAGAAGTAACAAGAGTACACACAGCTTTCCTTTCCATTTCTTTAATATCAAATCCATCCTGCTTCCCTTCCACTTCCAAGAAACTGCTGTGCACATGACACAATTATTTCATTCATCTCTTCATATGAATAGGCACTGCCCTGCACTGGCTCTGTGGAACACCACTGCTGCCAGAGGGAGTGGCAGGTTCGCAGCAGATTCAGTAAACAGACTTTTCCCTTGGCATCCCTGAACACATAGCAACCAATAGCCCTGCTTTCTCAGGGGAGGAGGCTCCAAAATGAAGGCTCTGCCTGACTTCATGCCTGGGAACCAGGTGGCATTTATTGAATGAATCCCCAGCCTCCAGAGCCACTTGAATTGCTCCTACCTGCTCCCCTCCAAAAACAGCTTTGGGGGACAGTTTGCAGCTCCTGCAGATGGCTGTAGAGGTTTATGGAACTGGTTGATTTTTGTTGGTCAAATAAAATGAATAACAAAAATGGATTTTAGGGTCCAAACACCTCCAGCTACAAGTCTTTCTGAGTGATGGTGACAGTCACATGGCTGAGCAGCACTTCATTCTATGCAGTGCTCTCTTCCTTCAAATACAAGAGGTAGCAGAAGGCAAAAATAAAAGGAACGCTGGATGGCAAATCTAATAAACTGTCTCTACTGACAGAGAACCCTCAGTATGCCCAAAGCACTTCAAATATGTTTAGGCAGAAGTGTCAGAAAATCGGTCTTATGTAAGCATTTCTTCTAATTAGGTCTTTGCAATTCATGAGGCCTCATGTTGAGCAGACAGCTCTCTTCCCAGCGGAGTCCTGGCTGCTCCTGCAGCCCGGTGTTCAATTTGCTCAGCTAAGGGGTACTAATGCTTCAATATGCAGCAGGCATTTTCTTAAATGTTGAAAGACTTAAACAAATTATAGCCATTCTGTAATTTGGAGGTTAGAAAAGAAGCTTTTAAAGAGCCTTGTAAAATGAATGACTTAAACATTCACCCTAGGCTATTTTTAAAATTCATTTGTCTGCACTCCAGTGAGGAGGAAGGCACAAATATATGCATGTTTCAGGTCCAAAATTTTGATTTCTGAATTAGTTAGAAATAAGCTACAATCTTTGTGATGACTAATAAGTGATTTGGGGAAATGGTGTGTAACATCGGTCACTGAAATAGCCACAGCTTCATACTCTTCCTCTACTAAGCAAGACTTGAAATTAAAATTATGGAAGAACTTATGGCAAATGAAAGAAGCTGTAGCACACCACCTCCTTGCATCAGAGTTTTAATTACTAACTTTCATGCTCCTTTCCACTGCAATATGTGCACTTTTAATCACACTACTTATGAAGTGCCCACTTGTCACAATGCTGCAAACCAAGATATGCAAAAAGAGCTACACAGAAGTTTGCATAAAAAAAATGATGCTGATCCATCTATCCCATCCCACAGAGCCACAAGGCACCTGTGCTAGGTGTCTCTGCAGGAGTAGTGTGAACTTATGGAGCAGAGCAAGGACCTTGCCTCATTTTAACACAGCATCTTCAGATGCTCTGCAGGAGTAGGGGGTGCTGAGCCAGGGATTGCTTCCTCTCTGCCACCACATATGCTACTGGGGACTGGGAAGGGAAGAGGAAATCATAGCAGATATTGAACATAACAGCACTTGCCAAAGGAAAAAAGAGATAAACTACTGCTAGAGAAAGTAGAGGTTCTCCTCCTTCCCCAGAAGGCAAGTAGAATCCTCCACTGGTGTGGTGCATTTGGTGCACACCCTGTAAAACAAGTTTCAATATAAAGAACTGAAATGTGTTTAAAATCTGTTGAAACATGTTTAAAAATTGGCAATTCCTTGTATAGACACATCTCTGAGGACATCAATCCCTTAACCTCTGTGACCTCTGTACTAAATCAATATCATAAACTGTGATTTTTCCGTGTAAGGCATTTAATGCTAATGTCTTGTTCCTGCAATACAATAAAAAACAGAAGTTATCCATTTACCCATTCATTCATAATTGCTTACCTACAACCTTAAGGAAACATCTGATATGGAAAATAAAACCACACAGACTGAATCTACAATCCATGAGTAGCAAAGTTACTAGGGGGAAGAAAGATATACAGTTTTACCTTGTTCGTGTAATCAATGGCTTTACTGAATGAAAGATGAGACAATTAATGCAAGTAGTTTTGAAATGGTCTTAGAGACGTCCATCTCATTGCTAACAAAGCCAAGAGAACACATCACAACACCTCTGTATTTATTCTCCACCACCGGCACGCATGGGACCCCGCTCTGAAGGGACACGTCAGACGCTTGGACCGCGTTTGCACACAGCACCCGCAACTCTCCTTGACGGAGATGGCAATCTTGTCCTCTGGGAAGCCCCCCGGCAGATATTCCTATTCCTCTTCCCTTGCCAGTACCCTCCAAGAGAAACTGGAAGAGGACTTTGGATTTCAGAAAGAATATGAAGCAGCTCCAAAGCATCTCAGGCTTTGCAGGCCCTTAAGTCAACTGTGGAAACTGCACCATGAATTTGGTCTTCAGGTGAAATGCAAACCAAGCTGGCTTTCTCGTCAGTAGGCAAGAGGGAGATGAAAAAGACCTAAACCAGGGGCAGGTTAAACCCATCCTCACAAGCCCAAGGGCTCAATCGCTCGCTCTTGACACAGAGAAGAAAACAGCTTTTAGCAGACCTTGAGAAATTAGCACTGGCGGCCAGCAAGTGTGGATCAGACCCGGTGCAAGGACACGTGTCTCTCCAGTGACCAGAATCGGAGCCCACGTGACAAACAGCTTGCTGCAATTGCTTCACCCAACCAAAGCAGCAAATCTGACTGCAGATCAGAGAGGGGATCTGAGGGATCTGGGATGCCACCAGAAGCAGATCAAGGCCATCTCCGAAGCAGCAAGTTAGGAGCTGTCAGCCATAACAACAGCCTTTTGGGTCAAACAGCTGACTGCTCTTGCACAGCAGCTTATGATATTGCATGATGCTGGTTGTCACTTTCCTGTTGCTTTGTAGAGAAGAAAGGTCCATCCTCACAGAACGTGCTCTACTAGGGCAAAGAGGGTATGGTAGAAAGCAAAAAAGTCATGAGCTTGTTTTAGGATAAAAACAAAAAGTCTCATGAAACAGCAAATTGCTTGACAGTGTTTTGAAAGGTAACTACTCCACATGCGTGTGACTTAGAAAAGAGTAAGAAAGGGCAAAAGGTAAGAAAGAAGAGAAGAGAAGAGAAGAAAAGTCAAAAGGAGGGCCAAGAACTTCAGGGAAAGGGCATCTCTTTAGTTTGTTGGGAGAAGAACTCCAATGAGCTTTCTCCTGACTTTCAAAGCAGCAGGTGCCCGGCCCTCTCCTCTGCGTTCCTCCTCGCCCTCTCTCCAGCACGCTGCCTCCCATCTGACGACGACGTCTGCACGCAACAGGCAACGGGGGTTTGCCCAGCAGCTTCAAAGCAGGCAGACGGCCCAACAGCCTGCCGTCCCTTCCAGTCAGCCCTCTCCGGCACTGCCCACTCACAGGCCCAGCCCTGCATGGCCACACTGCCCCAGCCCGCAGCAGGACTTCCCCCTCCCGTCCACGCATCCCTCCCTCCGCCCCAGGCAGCGCCCTTCTCCTTCGCCCCACCCAACACACGCTGGCCCCAGCAACTAAAAGACTTGGGTCTGCAGGATGCTTTTTTCCTCCCAAATGCAGGACTATTGTGTGATGAAAAGAACCAGCTCTGCATATTGGTCAAACCAGTAGTTTTATTTCAACAAAGGCTTCTAGATATCCTGTTGTAATTTAGCAGTGGCCCAGCCCCAGAAGACGCGTCTTCCAAGACTCCTCCTTATAAAATGGAGGGCAGCAACACACGAACATCGGGAGAGCCTGAAAAACAAACTTCTACTTCCAAGAAGGAAAGACCCACTCGGTGGCTGTTACCCAGCTGTGCTTACAGACGTCCCTGTGCTGCCTTCGGCCTCCAGGACAGCTCTATTGCACACACACTTGCCAACGGACACAGCTCAGCTGCCTAAGGAACAAATCCGAGCCCAACCGCTAAATATTATTCTCTTTCAAAACACAAGCTTCCTGACACTTTTCTTGCAAAACCAATCTTTATTTTAAACTCTTACAAGTCTACCTGAAACACTAGGCTCTCCTAGGTCACCACCCATGCTAAAGCCCCGTTTGTAATTTTGGTCAGGAAACGGGAAGAGAAAGCATGAGACGGCCTTTACCTTGTACTTTGAAATTCAAGTGGAGAGCACTGCTAACACCTATCCCTACTTTATCCTATGGAACTTAACTCGACTAATTCTTCCCTACCCCTACTTAAACCTACAGAACTTAAGGGGACTTATTCTCCTACTTCAGGGAACGGAAAGAAGGACAGGTGGTCTGGGAAGATGGGGACAAGGGTAGGGAAGCTGGGGACAAGGGTGGGAAAGCCAAGGCCCGGCTCGGCTTGAGTCTGTCTCTTAAGGAGAACAGGAAGGGCTTCTACAGCTGTCTTGCTAAAGACAGACTAGGGATAAGGTGGGCCCTCTCCAGAAGGAACTGGCAGATGTGGCTATCATGCACAAAGAGAAGGCTGAGGCTCTTGAGGACTTCTGCGCTTCAGTCTTCAACAGCAAGTGCTCCAGCCACGCCGCCCAAGTGGAGAAAGGCAAAGGCAGGGACTGGCAGAAGAAGTCCCCTGCAGCAGAGGATCAGGTTCGAGAGCGTGTCGGGAACCTGAATGTGCACAAGGGACCCGCTGAGGTTCATCCACAGGTCCTGAGGGAGCTGGCAGACAAAGTTGCTAGGCCACTCTCCATGGTTTTGGAAAATCGTGGCAGTCAGGTGAAGTCCTCGCTGACCGGGAAAAGGGTAATCCAAACCAACAGACCAGCAGGACTGGCCCCAAAACTGAGCCCTGGGTGACACCACTGGTGACCGGTCATCAGGTGGATGTCGGTGCGGTCACCGCCACCCCCTGGGAGCCGCCATCCCGTCTCGCCAGGCAGGGTCAGCGGAATGCCCCGCGCAGAGCCCGGAGCGCCTCCCTGAAGAGAGAGGGCCGCTGTGCTGAGACAGCTGTAGGTGAGGGCTCGACTTGCCAATGCTCAGTGCGTGGTCTGTCCCATGCCAGCAAGTCGTCCTCCCAGCAAGTGGCCCCCCTGACGGCCTGCTGTTCCTGGGATTTCTTCTTTGAGCTTTGTCTCATTGGAAAAAGGCCTTCATCCTTCAAGTGCAGCTGCAGGTGGTAAGGACAGGTCCCAGACTGCCCCCAGCAGCTCAGTCCGTAGAGGTGGAGGTGGATGTGCCCGATGAAGAGTCCCAGGGCTCTGCCCATGCCTCAGATGGGAAGGACACAGAGCTACTTGCTCCCCCGGTACTCCAGCTTTGGGCTGTGTTTTCTTGCCCCTGGCACCGCTCTAAGAGGCTGGAGATGTCCCAGAGACTCTCGTCCTCTGACCAGGCCCTCTCCTCAGTCAGTGGCAGGGGCAGGACCGTCTCCGCTGCTGCCCCTGCCCACTGCCCACTGCGAGCTTCCAGCTGGCTGGGCGAGGGGCTGGGGGGGCAGTAGGGGCTGTGCAGGGCAGCTGCCTGGCTCTCTGCCCCTGCTGCTGGGGCTGTTGCCAGCATGGCTGCGTCCTGGCCTTGAGCTGGGTGTTGCTGTTCCCCCGGCTGCTGGCCCCGTCGCCGGATCACAGCTGCAATCCCGCTCAGGGTGACACGTGCCATGCGCTGTAGCGCGTCCAGCACGGCGGGGCAGCAGCCTCTGGGGCGCTGCGGGGCAGCAGCTGTTGGCTGGTGGTGCCTGGGACCTGCCGGGGCAGGAGATGTGCTGTGCAGGTCCCTGACTACCTCTTCTGCTGCCCCTGCGCAGATGATGCAGGGACATTTGGGTCCTTCCTGGCAAGCAGGCTGAGGCTCCAGCAGGACCGGTATGAGGGAGGGCTTGACCCAGATGGTGTAGATTTTGACGACTTCCCCTTTCTTCTCTGCCAGCTCCTTGTTGTGGCTGTCTTCTTCCTGGGACAGCGGTTGGTGTGCATTTTCTTCCCCTCGGGACTCCCTGGAGACCTCTGGGAGCCCTGCCCACTGCCCAGTGAGAACTGACAGCTGGCTTGGCGAGGGGCTGGGGGGGCAGGCGTCCGGGCTCGGGGCCTGTGGCCTGATGTAAGGGCTGGTGAGGCACGGGCGAACTGGGGCACAGGCTGTCCGTGTGGGCGCTTGAAGGTCCCAGGGCTCTGACCATGCCTCACGTGGCATGGGCACGGGGAGCCTCTTTTCTCTACTCCTCCAGCTTTGGTCTCCGCTGCATTCTTCTTGGGGCAGCTCTAGGAGGCTGCAGATGTCTGAGAGCTCCTCAGACCAGGCCCCCTCCTTGCTCTCTGCCACTGGCAGCACTGCCCCTGCTGCTGCCCCGGCCCACTGCCCACTGAGAGCTTCCGGATGGCTTGGGAAGGGGCTGGGGGGACAGCAGGGGCTTTGCAGGACAGAGTCCTGCCTCTCTGACCCTGCTGCTGTGGATGTTCCTGCTGTCGCTACCTCCATACCCGGTTCTACCTCCCTCTGTGGCTCCGGCTTCTGGCCACGTCGCCGGATCCCAACCGCAAGCCTGCGCCGGGTGGCGCGCGCCACGCGCTGCAGTGTGTCCAGCACAGCGCGGCCGCAGCCTCTGGGGCTCTGTGGGGCAGCTGCCTGGCTCTCTGCCCCTGCCGCTCTCACCTGCTCAGCCACGGCAGCAGAAGAGGTGTTCTCCTCTTCCTGCGCTGCTGCCTGCGCCTGCCAGTTGTCCACCTGTGGCGAGGAGGAGGAGGAGAAGGCGGTGTGAGATGGAGGCAGCTGCCATGGCACGTCAGGCCTCTCCGTGCCTGCAAGCCCAGCCCTGGCACCAAGGCAGCTCTCCACTACCCCATCCTTCACCTTGTGATTCCTCTGCCAGCTCGACAGCCACTTGCGTGGCTGCAAGTTGGTAAACTTCTTCATCTTCCACATCGTCCACGTCGGCTACTTCCTCTGCCGCTGAGGCCCCCGAGAGAGATGCTGCCTCCTGAGACAGAAGCTCTCCTGGGAGAAAGAGGGCACTCCAGGCCTCTGCCCTCCTTAAATAGCCTCCCGGGCAGGGCGGGGCCCCGCACTGTCACAATGGCCTGTGTGCCCAAGGAGGCCCTGCATCACAAAGGGCCCGGCAATGCTGTCACAATGGGCCATTTCCCAGCACCCCTAGGACAGCAGCGTAGGGGGCACACAACTGGCTGCAGCTGGTTGGAACCAGTTGGAACCGGCTGTGCCCGGCACAAGGCTCCCCCGCTTTCCCATCACAGACGCTCCAGCCGGCCCCAGCCAACAGCTCCCGCACGGCCTCGGTGCCCGCGGCCTCCCCAGAGTTCAGCCCTGTCTGCATCCAGCAGCTGGCGGTGCCACCACCCTGGGCAGCCAGCCGTGGCCACGGCATGTCCCAGGGTCAGAGAGACAAGTTACTATGTGTAGAATTGCCTTGCTAAGGTTTCGGGCTTGCCAACCAGCTCGCCCTTCTGTGCAGGACTGTCAATAAATCAAATCCCTCGACCGTATGTGTGGATCGGCCTCTCGCACGCAGCGGGAAAGAACCCGCTTTGGGACAACAGGAGGGTCCTGGGCACTTGCTGGGGCAGGACACTTGCTGTGCAGCTCAGCATCTCTGCCCGCACTGCTGGGGTAACTGGGCCCTTTCTGGCAACCAGTGTAGGGGTTCAGCAACACCGCCGGCTACAAGGGCCCAACCCAGACAGTGTGCCTTTGGCTGGCCTTCCTGCTTTCCTGAGTCAGTCCTTTCTCCTTGTTTCTTCCCCATGGGACAGGGCTTGCTCTGGGATTTTTTGCCCTTGGGACAGCTCTAGGAGCCTGGAGATGTCCCAGAGCCACTCGGATCAGGCCCCATCCTGAGTCTGTGCCACTGGCAGGACTGCCTCCGCTGCTGCCCCTGCCCACCGCCCACCGAGAGCTTCCAGTGGCCTTGGCGATGCTGGACTGGAGGTCCAGCAGGAAAAGTCGGGCCTTTGCCCTGATTGGAGGGCTTCTGAGAGGGAGAGCTGGGCCATCGACTGTGATGCTGCACCGTTGAAGGTCCCAGGGCTCTGCCCATGCCTGGCGCTGGAAGGAAACTCAGCTCCCCTCCTGCCCAGTGCTCCAGCTTGGGTGTGTGTTTTCTTCCCCTTGGGACAGCTCTAGCAGCATGGAGATGGGAACAAAGTAACTAGAGGGTAGAACATCCTAGCTATCAGTCCTAGATCCAGGGGAGAGGCACCTAACAAGAAGCCCCAGAGGGCAGAGCCACCACCACCAAAGGGCCGCCTGGTGCTGCTTTTCTTTGCTCTGGCCTCCTGTGGCCGCTGCCGCCCCTCAGGCAGCGCTTCCAGGGTGCCAGCCATTCTGAGACTGGCTTAGGGGCTGCGGGGGCTGTGCTGTGGGGCAGTGCTCCCGGGCTGCTTTGGACTTCCAGCTGCTCCAGGCAGCAGCTCCAAGAGCCTCCAAAGGAGGCTCCAAGGGGCTGCATTGGGGCAGGGCATCCTTCCACCCTCCTGACATTCCACCTCTCCATTCCCTACACGTACGCACTTGAGTTGCTCTGAGCCAACACGAATAGAAGAATCCAGCGTCTCCCAGCTGCAACCCTGCTCAGGCTCACCCCTGCCCCGCGCTGCAGTGTGTCCAGCGCAGTGTGGCCGCAGCCTCTGAGGCGGTGCAAGGCAGCTGCCTGGCTCCCTGCCCCTGCTGCTCTCGTCTGCTGGCAGAAGGCAAGAGACTCTTGCGTCTTTGCCCCCTCGGGTGCCTTGGCAGCGAGAGGCGCGCGGTGCTCCCCTGCCTCTGGAGCTCCTTGACTTCCTTAGGATAAACACAACTGAACAAACCACCAAAACATCAGTGTGTTGTCGACACCATTCTCATTCCAAATCCAAAATACAGCCCTCTAACGGCTCCCGAGAAGAAATTAACTCTACCCTAGCGAAAACCAGGACCAAAGGGGAAATCACACCTGACAAATTTGGTGACTTTCGGAGACGGGGCTACATCAGTGGTGGCAACTAATCCAAATACTTTTGAAATGGTCTTAGAGACGTCCATCTCATTGCTAACAAAGCCAAGAGAACACATCACAACACCTCTGTATTTATTCTCCACCACCGGCACGCATGGGACCCCGCTCTGAAGGGACACGTCAGACGCTTGGACCGCGTTTGCACACAGCACCCGCAACTCTCCTTGACGGAGATGGCAATCTTGTCCTCTGGGAAGCCCCCCGGCAGATATTCCTATTCCTCTTCCCTTGCCAGTACCCTCCAAGAGAAACTGGAAGAGGACTTTGGATTTCAGAAAGAATATGAAGCAGCTCCAAAGCATCTCAGGCTTTGCAGGCCCTTAAGTCAACTGTGGAAACTGCACCATGAATTTGGTCTTCAGGTGAAATGCAAACCAAGCTGGCTTTCTCGTCAGTAGGCAAGAGGGAGATGAAAAAGACCTAAACCAGGGGCAGGTTAAACCCATCCTCACAAGCCCAAGGGCTCAATCGCTCGCTCTTGACACAGAGAAGAAAACAGCTTTTAGCAGACCTTGAGAAATTAGCACTGGCGGCCAGCAAGTGTGGATCAGACCCGGTGCAAGGACACGTGTCTCTCCAGTGACCAGAATCGGAGCCCACGTGACAAACAGCTTGCTGCAATTGCTTCACCCAACCAAAGCAGCAAATCTGACTGCAGATCAGAGAGGGGATCTGAGGGATCTGGGATGCCACCAGAAGCAGATCAAGGCCATCCCCGAAGCAGCAAGTTAGGAGCTGTCAGCCATAACAACAGCCTTTTGGGTCAAACAGCTGACTGCTCTTGCACAGCAGCTTATGATATTGCATGATGCTGGTTGTCACTTTCCTGTTGCTTTGTAGAGAAGAAAGGTCCATCCTCACAGAACGTGCTCTACTAGGGCAAAGAGGGTATGGTAGAAAGCAAAAAAGTCATGAGCTTGTTTTAGGATAAAACCAAAAAGTCTCATGAAACAGCAAATTGCTTGACAGTGTTTTGAAAGGTAACTACTCCACATGCGTGTGACTTAGAAAAGAGTAAGAAAGGGCAAAAGGTAAGAAAGAAGAGAAGAGAAGTCAAAAGGAGGGCCAAGAACTTCAGGGAAAGGGCATCTCTTTAGTTTGTTGGGAGAAGAACTCCAATGAGCTTTCTCCTGACTTTCAAAGCAGCAGGCACCCGGCCCTCTCCTCTGCGTTCCTCCTCGCCCTCTCTCCAGCACGCTGCCTCCCATCTGACGACGACGTCTGCACGCAACAGGCAACGGGGGCTTGCCCAGCAGCTTCAAAGCAGGCAGACGGCCCAACAGCCTGCCGTCCCTTCCAGTCAGCCCTCTCCGGCACTGCCCACTCACAGGCCCAGCCCTGCATGGCCACACTGCCCCAGCCCGCAGCAGGACTTCCCCCTCCCGTCCACGCATCCCTCCCTCCGCCCCAGGCAGCGCCCTTCTCCTTCGCCCCACCCAACACACGCTGGCCCCAGCAACTAAAAGACTTGGGTCTGCAGGATGCTTTTTTCCTCCCAAATGCAGGACTATTGTGTGATGAAAAGAACCAGCTCTGCATATTGGTCAAACCAGTAGTTTTATTTCAACAAAGGCTTCTAGATATCCTGTTGTAATTTAGCAGTGGCCCAGCCCCAGAAGACGCGTCTTCCAAGACTCCTCCTTATAAAATGGAGGGCAGCAACACACGAACATCGGGAGAGCCTGAAAAACAAACTTCTACTTCCAAGAAGGAAAGACCCACTCGGTGGCTGTTACCCAGCTGTGCTTACAGACGTCCCTGTGCTGCCTTCGGCCTCCAGGACAGCTCTATTGCACACACACTTGCCAACGGACACAGCTCAGCTGCCTAAGGAACAAATCCGAGCCCAACCGCTAAATATTATTCTCTTTCAAAACACAAGCTTCCTGACACTTTTCTTGCAAAACCGATCTTTATTTTAAACTCTTACAAGTCTACCTGAAACACTAGGCTCTCCTAGGTCACCACCCATGCTAAAGCCCCGTTTGTAATTTTGGTCAGGAAACGGGAAGAGAAAGCATGAGACGGCCTTTACCTTGTACTTTGAAATTCAAGTGGAGAGCACTGCTAACACCTATCCCTACTTTATCCTATGGAACTTAACTCGACTAATTCTTCCCTACCCCTACTTAAACCTACAGAACTTAAGGGGACTTATTCTCCTACTTCAGGGAACGGAAAGAAGGACAGGTGGTCTGGGAGGATGGGGACAAGGGTAGGGAAGCTGGGGACAAGGGTGGGAAAGCCAAGGCCCGGCTCGGCTTGAGTCTGTCTCTTAAGGAGAACAGGAAGGGCTTCTACAGCTGTCTTGCTAAAGACAGCCTAGGGATAAGGTGGGCCCTCTCCAGAAGGAACTGGCAGACGTGGCTATCATGCACAAAGAGAAGGCTGAGGCTCTTGAGGACTTCTGTGCTTCAGTCTTCAACAGCAAGTGCTCCAGCCACGCCGCCCAAGTGGAGAAAGGCAAAGGCAGGGACTGGCAGAAGAAGTGCCTAAGTCCCCTGCAGCAGAGGATCAGGTTCGAGAGCGTGTCGGGAACCTGAATGTGCACAAGGGACCCGCTGAGGTTCATCCACAGGTCCTGAGGGAGCTGGCAGACAAAGTTGCTAGGCCACTCTCCATGGTTTTGGAAAATCGTGGCAGTCAGGTGAAGTCCTCGCTGACCGGGAAAAGGGCAATCCAAACCAACAGACCAGCAGGACTGGCCCCAAAACTGAGCCCTGGGTGACACCACTGGTGACCGGTCATCAGGTGGATGTCGGTGCGGTCACCGCCACCCCCTGGGAGCCGCCATCCCGTCTCGCCAGGCAGGACCAGCAGAATGCCCCGCACAGAGCCCGGAGCGCCTCCCTGAAGAGAGAGGGCCGCTGTGCTGAGACAGGCGTTGATGAGGGCTCGACTTGGCAGCGCTCAGAAGACTGTCTGTCCCATGCCAGCAAGTCGTCCTCGCAGCAAATTGCCCCCCTGACGGCCTTCTGTTCCTGGGAGTTCTTCTTTGCCCTTGGTCTGGGTTGCAAAAGGCCTTCTTCCGTCAAGTCCGTGCCTGTGCCCATGTAAAACTGCTGGTTTGGGTTGGAAGGACCCATGTCCCGGACTGCCCCCAGATCATCGTCCGTGGATGTGCCTTCTTGAGAGTCCCAGGGCTCTGCCCATGGCCCGCACGGGAGGGACACAGAGCTAGTTACTCCCCCAGTACTCCAGCTTTCAGCTGTGTTTTCTTCCTCTTGGCAGGGCTCTAAGAGGCTGGAGATGTCCCAGAGACTCCCATCCTTGGACCAGGCCCTCTCCTTTGTCTGGGCCACTGGCAGGAATGCCCCCACCGCTGCCACTGCCCACTGCTCACTGAGAGCTGCCAGCTGGCTTGGTGAGGGGCTGGCAGGGCAGGGGGAAGTGTGCAGGGCAGCTGCCTGGCCCTCTGCCCCTGCTGCTGTGCTGTGCTGGTCACCATCTGTCTGTTCTGCTGCCTCTTTGCATATGGTGCAGGGGCATTTGGGTCCCTCCTGGCCCCCAGTCTGAGGTTCCAGCAAGATTGGTATGAGGGAGGGCTTGACCCAAATGGTGTAGATCTCGATGTCTTCCCAGTTGTCCTGCGACAGCTCAGTGTCGTTGCTGTCTTCCACCTGGGACAGCGGTTGGTGTGTGTGTTCTTGCCCTTGGGACTCCCTGGAGATGTCCCAGAGCTCTGAGGACCAGACGCCCCCGCGCTGCCCACTGAGAGTTTCCAGCTCACACGGCGAGGGGCTGAGGGCACAGCGGTCCGGGGTTGGGGCCTGTGGCCTGATGTAAGGGCTGCTGCTGCGGCGAACTGGGGCACGGGCTCTCGGTGTGGGTGCTTGAAGGTCCCAAGACTCTGCCAATACCTCACATGGGATGGGCACAGGGAACCCCTTTTCTCTGCTGCTCCAGCTTTGGTCTCCACTGCGTTCCCCATGGGGCAGCTCTTGGGGGCTGTAGACATTCAAGTCTCGCCCCAACTTGGAAAAGGCCCCCTCCTCAGCCTCTGGCGCTGGAAGCACTGCCTTTGCTGCTGCCCACTGCTCGCTGAGGCCATTGGCTTGTAGCTGGATTGGCGAGGGGCTGGGGGAGCAGAAGGGGCTGTGCAGGGCAGCTGCCTGGCTCCCTGGCCCTGCTGCTGTCGCCTGCTCGCCCAAGGCAGGAGAAGCTGCCGTCTTTGCCGCCTCTTGTGCCTCGGCAGCGACAGGTGTGCAGTGCTCCTCTTCCTCAGGAGCTCCGGCGAGGGCAGCAGCTGCTGGCTGGCTGTCCGTGGGACCCGCCAGGGCAGGACAAGAGCTGTGCAGGTCAGTGTCTGCCTCTTCTACCACCTCTCTGCCCACACTGCTGGGGAAACCGGGCCCCTCCTGGCAACCAGTGTGGGGGTCCAGCAAGACCTCTGGGTAAAAGGGCTTGACCCAGATGGTGTGGACTTGGCTGCTCTTCTTCTTCGTCTTCTCCTGAAACAGCTCTTGACCGTTGCTGTCTCCTCCATGGGACAGCGGTTGCTCTGTCCTTTCCTCCCCTTGGGACTGCTCTGATTGGCTGGAGATGTCTGAGAGCTCTTCAGACCAGGCCCCCTCCTTGCTCTCTGCCACTGGCAGCACTGCCCCTGCTGCTGCCCCGGCCCACTGCCCACTGAGAGCTTCCGGATGGCTTGGGAAGGGGCTGGGGGGACAGCAGGGGCTTTGCAGGACAGAGTCCTGCCTCTCTGACCCTGCTGCTGTGGATGTTCCTGCTGTCGCTACCTCCATACCCGGTTCTACCTCCCTCTGTGGCTCCGGCTTCTGGCCACGTCGCCGGATCCCAACCGCAAGCCTGCGCCGGGTGGCGCGTGCCACGCGCTGCAGTGTGTCCAGCACAGCGCGGCCGCAGCCTCTGGGGCTCTGTGGGGCAGCTGCCTGGCTCTCTGCCCCTGCCGCTCTCACCTGCTCAGCCACGGCAGCAGAAGAGGTGTTCTCCTCTTCCTGCGCTGCTGCCTGCGCCTGCCAGTTGTCCACCTGTGGCGAGGAGGAGGAGGAGGAGGAGAAGGCGGTGTGAGATGGAGGCAGCTGCCATGGCACGTCAGGCCTCTCCGTGCCTGCAAGCCCAGCCCTGGCACCAAGGCAGCTCTCCACTACCCCATCCTTCACCTTGTGATTCCTCTGCCAGCTCGACAGCCACTTGCGTGGCTGCAAGTTGGTAAACTTCTTCATCTTCCACATCGTCCACGTCGGCTACTTCCTCTGCCGCTGAGGCCCCCGAGAGAGATGCTGCCTCCTGAGACAGAAGCTCTCCTGGGAGAAAGAGGGCACTCCAGGCCTCTGCCCTCCTTAAATAGCCTCCCGGGCAGGGCGGGGCCCCGCACTGTCACAATGGCCTGTGTGCCCAAGGAGGCCCTGCATCACAAAGGGCCCGGCAATGCTGTCACAATGGGCCATTTCCCAGCACCCCTAGGACAGCAGCGTAGGGGGCACACAACTGGCTGCAGCTGGTTGGAATCAGTTGGAACCGGCTGTGCCCGGCACAAGGCTCCCCCGCTTTCCCATCACAGACGCTCCAACCGGTCCCAGCCAACAGCTCCCGCACGGCCTCGGTGCCCGCGGCCTCCCCAGAGTTCAGCCCTGTCTGCATCCAGCAGCTGGCGGTGCCACCACCCTGGGCAGCCAGCCGTGGCCACGGCATGTCCCAGGGTCAGAGAGACAAGTTACTTCTGGGTAGAATTGCCTTGTTAAGAGTAAGAAAGGGCAAAAGTTAAGAAAGAAGAGAATGTAAGAAAAGCCAAAAGAAGGGCCAAGAACTTCAGGGAAAGGGCATCTCTTTAGTTTGTTGGGAGAAGAACTCCAATGAGCTTTCTCCTGACTTTCAAAGCAGCAGGCGCCCGGCCCTCTCCTCTGCGTTCCTCCTCGCCCTCTCTCCAGCACGCTGCCTCCCATCTGACGACGACGTCTGCACGCAACAGGCAACGGGGGCTTGCCCAGCAGCTTCAAAGCCGGCAGATGGCCCAACAGCCTGCCGTCCCTTCCAGTCAGCCCTCTCCGGCACTGCCCACTCACAGGCCCAGCCCTGCATGGCCACACTGCCCCAGCCCGCAGCAGGACTTCCCCCTCCCGTCCACGCATCCCTCCCTACGCCCCAGGCAGCGCCCTTCTCCTTCGCCCCACCCAACACACGCTGGCCCCGGCAACTAAAAGACTTGGGTCTGCAGGAGGTTTTCCCCCGAAATTAAGGACTAGATCATGATGAAAAGAACAAGTCCTTATGATTGGTCAAACCAAGACTTTTATTTCCACCTGTTAAGAAAACCCTTTGCTTACCAGCAGAGTCCAACACAGATGGGCAGACAGACTCGAATACAATTAAATACAGGAAAACCTGAACTATATACAGCAAGACAGACATCTACATATTATAAAGAGTTTTTTCCTGTATCTATGAGTTCTTGCCAATGCAAAACATTACTGGAACTCAAGTATATTAAGATTTTTTTCTTTTTTCCCCTTAAAAAGAAAGCATGTAATGAATTTCCTATTTTTTTCCATTTACTGAGGCATAATATTCATTTTGAGATGCACAAAATTTGTGGCACTTCACAGGGTACACAAAAGCTAAAAATGTTTTGTCTTGTTATTTTATAGTTTATGATATCTAAATTTCAATTAAATCTATTTATGGAGACACTAACTGTAAAGTGTTATTTACATGGAGGGAGTTGTGCAAAGTCATTTAGGCTATGGCTAGTACACTGTGAAAGATGCATGGTAAAGGAACTCACCCTCATCCCCAGAAGTAATCCCTTAAATCCTCTTTTGATCATTTTTCTCATGGAGCAGTCACCCAAGGAAAACTGGCCATAATTTAGTATTATTTGTTTCTTAAGCTACTTGGAGAAAGCTGTTCCTGTGACCCTTAAGGGTCTTGACTGTTTTAATGTTGGATTTTTTCTTTTCACACAGTTAATGCTTTAAGCATTGACTATCTGCTTTTTGGGACACAAATGCAGCCGTCACTGTCACCACACTACCCTACGACAGCCGTAGTCCTTGCCTGTAGTTTATATCACCAGTGGGAGCACACAGGAACTGAATGTGTGTAACTTTGTAGGAGTCACTGTACTGCCACAATGCAGAAACTGCATATTCCTGCTAACAGTGCTGAACCAAAGCTATTCCAAACCAGGGTGGGGAAGGTACTGCCTTTCTTCAGACATCCTTTACAGAACAGAACTCTGTATTACTATATCCAGAAACATCCAGAAACATCCTCATTAAAAAAAAAAAAGAAAGAAATCAACTTTACTTTGGGTTGCAAACTTCAAGAAAGATCTTGAAACAGCTAATTACAAGAGCTGCTGTAATTAAAGACTTCCTACAGATCCCTAGGACAGGTTAGCAAAGACACATCCTACAGTTGTGCTGCACCAGGGCACAGAATGGTTCTTATAATGGTTTCCATAACCAACTGCCAAAAGGTGTCCAAGGTTAATTCTGGACTTTTTCACAGATATGCCTACTGCAAATGTGGATCATAAAACACTGATTTTAATCATCTTGTCTGCATAAACCTGTTTGTATCAGCTCATCTACATCAGCTTGCACATTTAGTAACAGACTTGAAGGATTTAGAACTGAGTTCTGGGGTGAAAAAAAAGTGACTTGATAACAGTACATAAACTGGTGTATTCCTGCCTTCTGAAATAGAGGAATTCTCTCTCCTAGGACATATACCCGCCTTCTCTTCTTTTTTAAAAATACACATTTAAAGAAAGCTGGGCAACGCTCAGGGCAAAGAGTGATTAAACTTGTCTCTCAAAAAGCTGTCAAGTTAACATTGCTACCAAACACCTTCTAAAGCCTCCGCTTCCTAAATCCATGGCAGTACAGTTCTTTAATTTTCAATCCTATGCACCAGGCTACAACCAGTCAGGTATCAGTTTAACAACCAGAGAGAACAGCAAGGCAAACACACTCAAAGCATTAAACAGGGAACAGCTGACACAGTAAGAAGATCTGTAGGTAGTTTGGTATTCACCTGACAAGAGGACAGCATACAGTTTGCTTCTTATTCATCACTAGGAAGCCTAGAGAAGTCTATATTCTCATTGGTTATTAGGAGAGAGTGTTACAGCACAGCAGTAAACCCAAGAGACCACCTCATCATGTTAGAAAATAAATTCAGTGTTTGGATTCAAATACAGGAATTCTTGGCAGTTAAAACAATCAAAGAAGTATTTTCACATTGTACATGTTGCAACGTTTCTACGTATTTTAGATCTCATGGAGTTCATAAAAACATCTACATGTTCAAGCCTTCTGCTCAAAACACCTGACTGCCGGTCAACAGCAGGTTATTTTATTGCATAACCTTCATTGTCAATTTAAGCCTTGTTTATGAAAACACAAGCCATCACTACAGAACTTACTCTACTTGGGCAAAGACGACATGCAGGAAAGTAAGAGTCGTGAACTTCTTACAGGACAAAAACAAAAGTGTAATTAAATGATAAATTGCTAATCTGTCTTCTGAAAAGGAAACTATTTCATATCTAGATGTGATGGTGGGAATAATTTATAGAGTAAGAAAAAACAAAATATTCAGGCCCCCTCATTTTTTAGCATTAGAAAAAGTAGAAGAAAATTGATTAACTGCTTCCTTCCTGGTCTAGGCTGCTGGTCTAGTTTATAGACAGTCATTGATAAAACATTATAACAAGGAACATAAAAAGAAGCAGCTTGGACCATAAAAAAAAGTTGTCTAGATACATACAAGTCGTTCTCCAAAAAAAAAAACAAAACAATTTTATTTGGATTTGTGCACAACCTGTTGCTCTTTAAATCTTCAAAGCACTGAAAACATGACATTTTCCCCCAAAATCCATTGAGACTGTCCTGAGAAGTAAAAGTACTCATATATAAATGGGATGATATTGTCTGTGAGTGAGTTTCTTCCTGCAGGTTGGGCAAGAGTTGGCATTCCTAAGGGAATCACGGAGGCACTGACTGCAGAAGACATGGCCACATTTTGTTGACACAATCAGTCGTCCACTTTGCACAATCTGGAAGAAAGGAAACCACAAGAGGCACTGGAAGTAAAGAATTCAACTTTGCTGGTCTCCTGCCACCAGGTAAACAGGACTTGGATATCTGGAATTGTCTTTTACTCTTAGAATAATACGGAACTGAAAGATCTTTCAGTGCCATCCTGGCAAAAGTTTCTCCCTCTATCCATGCCACCAAGAAGTGACTTGGAGTGACAAGTTAGTATGAGCTTCAAAACAAGCTCTGTGCTTCAAGTCAGATCTCTGCAACATCCCAAACAGGCCAACTGAGTTGTGCAGCTCCCCCTCTGCCCCATTCTCCCTCCCACAAGACAGAAAGGATGACAGCATGTGGACTCTTACCTCTGAGTAGACATCCATGCAAATGGGACAGCTAACAGTACCAGACGGCCTTGTGGCAGAGAGAACAGAACAAGAAAGAACATGCAGCCATTAATCTCACTGCACGTCGGGCGTTGCCGACACACAAAACGTCCCGTCACCATCTGAGCGCAGACCAGCCATGACACATTTCTTTTGAAGATCCCCATGTATCTTTAGCTCCCTCAGTCTGTGGCATGTAATAAGGAGTCTGGGTCTCCTTGTTCTAAGGGAAAGGTTTTCACTAGGGGGAAGATGCAGTCAGTCACCCTGCTCTAGCACTAGAAGGGACAGCAGTCTCTAGCACTGGGCACCATAGGTACGGCCATCAACAACATCAGTAACAGCTCTGTAACAAAAGCATCTACCTGTGCCTTGGAAACAAGTCATTCTAGAAAGGGAAGAGGCTGCCAGAAATTCAAATATCCCCTGTTCTAATTCAGCAATACACACATTCCAAGAACTCCTCCTTATAAAATGGAGGGCAGCAACACACGAACATCAGGAGATACCAAAAAACAAATTTCCACTTCCAAGAAGGAAAGACCCACTCGGTGGCTGTTACCCAGCTGTGCTTACAGATGTCCCTGTGCTGCCTTCGGCCTCCAGGACAGCTCTATTGCACACACACTTGCCAAAGGGATACAGCTCAGCTGCCTAAGGAACATGTCCTAGCCCAACTGCTAAATATTATTCTCTATTAGAAATGAGTTTCCTGCTGCTTTTCTTTTGAAACCAATCTCTATTTTAAACTTTCAGACCTCTACCTTAAACACTTGGCTTTATGTCACGGCTCATGCTAAATCACAGTTTGTAATTTATTAATCATAGAGGAATAGAAAGCATAGGATAGCTTAAATTCAAGCAGGGAACC